CTGGGTGGCGGTAACTCTGGGAAATCCATTTGAAACTAACAGGCAAACTAAATTTTGATGCTGTCCTTGTTTTCATTGTGATCTAAATTAACTAGTGTTAACCTTTTCACTTCCAAGATCTCATGAGTTATTCTTCAGTTACTATTTGCCTTACAATTCCTATGTTACTTTGGAGAATTTGGTACTGTTTCAAGCACTAATCCCCTCATTGATATATTTTCTTTATTCTCATCATTTGTCTGCTTGATATTGTATTGATATTGTGGGGTTGCTCATGAAAGCTAAAGGGTTAATTAAAAATGAAGTTGTTTCTTCGTATGTTATGTAACGCTGGTAATGTAATACTACAGCAGATAATGACATAAGAATAAACCAGAGATCCATTGGCTTCGGTAGAACTTCTGTACATGAACAATGTATTTTATAGTACACCAAGTATAGTCCATGAAGAAATAAAACTGCAGCAGCACCCAATTTTTACTGGGTACCCTAGCATGGTCTTGAAAGATGATTATTTCTGTTTCTATAGAAATTCTAAGTAAGCTTGAAGATCAGATTTTATTGAAGAGGGCTTTAGATAACCTAATATCATAACCACAGAATTTTGGTTGATTTTGTGGAAAAGAGAATATTAGGCAAATCAAGACTACATATGACAACTGATAACATGTTTTTATAACAGTGAAAAAAACTAGAGGTTGTATAATGATGCTAGAAGGTAGTGTTGCAGAAGATTTGTCTCATGAAACAAAAATCCTGCTGCATTCACATATTTATGCATGGCTCAATGGTGAGAGCTCTCACCTCCCACCACTGTGGCCCTGGTTCGATTCCTGGACCTGGCGTCACATGTGGATTAAGTTTGTTGTTGGTTCTCATCCTTGCTCCATTTTTCTCTGGGTCCTCTGGTTTTCCTCCCTCTGCAAAAACCAACATTCCAAATTCCAATTCGATCTGGAAACAGTGGACAAGAAGAGCCACCCAGGGGAATGTCCATTGGTAAATTATTATTGTTATTATTACAATTATTATTACTATCAGTGTCTAATTACAAGTGAGAATTGAATTAAGATTATAGTGACTAATTGACACCCAACCAATAATTAGATTCTAAAAAGACATTATATAAACAACAGTGATGATAATAATAATTATAATTACAATTTCAACAAATATTTGTATAGTAAAATATTAATTATACTTAATGACTAAAGGGGCTAGCTCAGGAATCTCACTTTTCCTCTGGCAGTCTATCCTCTCGCTAGACTTCAATAATGAGTGAACTGTGCTTCTTTCAATTTTGCCTGTTCATTATTAATACTTTTCTTATTTCATTACAATTCTATTTCTGTGAGACTTTTGTTTCATATGACAAAGCGTTCTGTTTTGTAGGATATTCTGCTGCTCTGCCATATCCACCATTCCATCATTTTGTGTAATAGGGTCACCCTGTTAAACTCAATTAAGGTATCATATTTTGGACCTTGTCCACTTTGCAAATTTAGTGGCTCTTTTGGCCATTGATGATTGAAAAGGTAAAATGCTCTCTTTTCGAATAAATAATTTTCTTCAAAGTTTTCACCAGGTGGGAATCAAACCTATGCCAGTATTTCTGCAAGGAAAAGGCTTGTTTTCAATTGTGCCAGAGAGGCTTACTGTGAAATTATATTGGGATGCTAAGCATCTGTTGTAGTGTCATAGCAAGAACTAAAAAAATTATATCTTCAGATCTACTGGGTATAATTTCCTGATTCAAATGCTCTACTCTGGCTCTCTTCCAAGCGAAAATAATTCCTCCAAGTATTCATGTTGCACTGATCACACCTTTTGAGACATGTAGGTAAAGTTTTGTTTTTGCATGCACCATCCTAAAATTAATGTGAGATGTTTACCATCTTTTGCAGTATAGAGAAACAGTGTGATCACAACCTAATTCCAATTAACATTCAAAGTAATTCAATTCAGAGCAAATGAAAATTGTCTTAGTTAGCTTTAAGAGTGCTACTAGAATATCAAGAAGAGGAGGTCAGCTGGCTTGTCTTTCTTAATGGTTGGCTAACATTATACTCGTTCCAATATCCATACTGAGCAAAACACCATTATTGTTTTTTTGAGGTGAAAAGGGGGTGGATTGCTGTGCAATCCCTGTTTATAAATAGTATGTGTACACCCTATACTTCAACCTTTTATTCAGTGCTTTTTTTTCTATGTTTTCTTTAATGGATGTCTTCATGTTAACCTCAAAATTTTAGATTTTGCTGTGCAACAGTTGTGGAGAAGAAAACAAGGCCTAGATTGGAGTTTCATGACGACCCACCAACAGTGTGGGATGGAATTACAATTCACAGGCGTACCAGGGGGAATGCTTCCCTTTATGTATTTTTTGAGGTTTGTATTTAAAAAATTGTTCTCCTCCATAACTGTGCATATTTTGATTTTCCAGGTGATTCAATAAGACTTTTTAATTATAAAATCATCTTGTGTTTATTTTAATGGTACTTTAAAATTAACTGAAAAGTTTGCTCTCAAGTCAAGGGCATAAACATCAACAACATGGGATATAGGTACTCCTCCTTCTTGGGGAGCTTAAGTTCCTGATGAGTTAGAGCTGCCCATATGCATGCCAGTCATATTTCTTTCAAACTAAAACTTTTAGTTTCATTCCTGTGGTGCAAAAATCTAGATTCTCCCCATTTATTCAGACAACCAAACCAGACATTTTAGTGATCAGAAGGATTACCTATAATAAGTGATATTCCAAAAAAAATGCTTAACAGGCTGAGAAGCTGGCATCTTGAAATTTTGTGAAAAGGTTGACAGTGACTCGTGTTTTCAAATTTGAAAGTTACCAGTTCTAAGGAGAGGTAAACTATTAGGGCTTGATGAAAGTCAT